CCCTCCTGGAACAGAGACCACGATGACACGGCATCAACGCGCTCTGGGGGAACACCCGGACCCTCCAGCGGAGGACACACATCGCACAGCGGGGACAACAGCAGTGAGCAAGGTAGGAACAGAGCCCTCACACTTTCTTAGCTGGCAAGATGTGCTCAAGGGACTGGTTACTCTCTTTCTGATGTTAAAATGTGCTCTGGTACCAGGGGTTTTGTGCTGAGAAAGGTCTATCTTTTTTTTTTTTTTTTTTTTTTTTTTGACACTTTTTTCTCCATCTCCTCCTAGTAAAGGGATTGGTATCTTTATTTCTTCGACCCTGCCAGCAGGCACACTTTAGAGCAACATATGTACCAAATTTGCAGTATGCTTAATAAAAATAAGAATTGAGAAGGGTTTGTTTTTTGTTTTTTTTCCTTCATTCAAATGGGTTAAAAGATAAAATCTTCAAAACCAAATGTAATTAAGATTGTAGAAATGCACGCTAATATTTCAAAGATGCCATCAAAACTTCACTGCATATAAAGAAGAGAGATGTTAGCTGACCCATTTGACAAAATCCTGAACAATGCTTTTATTTACTTTTTTTTTACACCATTCCAATTTAATTGAATGCAAAAACATTCTGTTTGAGTGTCAGGCCAGAGCAGCTGATTTAGCAGGGCGAGTGTGGAACGAGCTTGGTGAAATGGAAGTGGGACATATACAAATAATCAGTGCTGCCTCAGAAACTCTGAAGTCTAAAACGCTGAATTTCTGGATTTTTTTTTTTTCTGAGGAGCTGTTTGAATGCTTCATACTTTTTCTGAACAGACTAACTGCAGTGGATTTCGTGTTAATTTAATGCAATTAAAATTTAAAAAGGATCCTTAATCTGAATATAAAAGAGAGTGCTTTATTGAAGTTGACTCTGAACTCACAATAGGTATATACTTTTAAATCTGGTTTTATGATCATGTTTCATTCAAGTGCTGTTAGGCAACAAAGGAATTGTGTTTCCAAAAAAAGGTTGAGCAGTACTGATTAGCATTGCAAAGTCTGCATTTAACAAGATTAGTTTTTAAACTAAACCAGTATATTTTAATTTTTTATATGCATGGACCTAACGTACATGTCTTTATAGAATTTTAAGTATTTGAGACTCGTTATTGTTTAAAGAAAAGTTGCTGACTTCATCGCAAGTACAGCCTAGTAAAAACGGGGCCTGGAATAGTAAACTGTTGCAGAGCTGAGGCAGAAACTGGTAACCTTCTGACCTCTGACTTTTACTGGAAAATGATATGCAACATAAATTCAGGGGGCCTTTTTTCTTTCAAGTATGTATACGTGTATATTCTAGTGGTGCTGTTCACAAGGCTGTAGTTGAAGTGGTGTCAATGTGTTCATTAGAGCCCCTTGGTTTCGGAGCAAACTTTACATCCGTGGGTTTTTTTTTTTAAGGGCGAAAAAGCTGCTGCGAAAAACAGGCTTTGAACTAAAACGTGGTGTTTTGAGAGGGTTTTTGTACTCGGATAGGGCTGTTCCTTCTATTAGACGGATGTGCGTGTGTTTATCTGGATATGTGCGTGGACTAAACAGCTGTGGGGAGGCTTGCCAGCATGCTCCTAGACTGCTTTGGAAATCAAGATACTCAGTTCCTGGTGTACTTTTAAAGGTTTTGTCAGGCTTCATTTCCTCCTAAATGTAACATTTTAGTAGTCTGGAGTGCCATTCATATCTGATGTCTTATCATTGCCATCCCGGTCAACTCCTAGCAAGGTGTATGCTGTAAACTCAGTCAGGAAGGGTTTTGTAAAGTGAGTTTCCAGCCTGAGTGCTACTAAATATCTGCAGAAGGACTTGTCAGTGATGCTTTATCCAGTTCTGGAACTTTTACCCAAATCCCAGTGGTTTATTAAGGCTGGAATTGCTGCTAGTGCTTGATGTGTTTTGTGAAGAAGGCTCATTGCTTTCAAACTTTAGAGAAGAGTAAAAAGAAAAAAGGGAGGGAATTTGCTAACTGGAACTCTCAGGTCAAATTTGGGAGAGGTGTTTTGGAAAGGAGACCCTGTCCAGAAGGTCTCTGTTACTAAGACTTGCCTTCAGGCCACTTGCCACCTGTGGAAATGGCATTGTTTTTGAGGAAAAGGAATGTGGGAAGGGTAGCAGTGGTTTTGCTGAGCCTTGCTTTGTGTCATGTTTATGTGAAATACTCTGATGGTTGAGACTATAGGGGAATCTCATTTGTTTAAGTACACCACAGCTGCATGTACACCTTCTGTAAAAAAAGCCAACAAACAAAGTGTGATTTTTAGCCTTTCCCTATGGGGAAGAAGTCAAAAAATACGACCCTGAAGGACCAAAATGGAAGAGAAGAAAAAGAAAACAAGTATCCTGCCCGTCTCCAACTGCCTTAAATTTCCAAATGCTGTGATTTGATGGCTTTTCTTCTGTGGCCTGATGTTAGGAGTGCAACACCGTGGTTAGACTCCTGTATTTACCTCTGCTGGGTGCTTCTCTTGGCAGCAGAAGGAGCCAGCGTGGCACTGCCACAGCAACCGGGTGCTGTGGAGGGGTGGCAGCGAAAGGCTGGGGACCCCAGCTTGTGCTTGAGAGCATAGGAGTTAACTCGAGATGCATGTGTTGCGTGACATATATTCAGTATATTATGGGCTTCCCTATTTTTAGGAATTTGTAAAAGTTCCTTTTGGTTCCATCTGTCATGAACACGTTTGCCATTTAAAAAAAAAAAAAAAAAAAAGGCAAATCTGATCACCAGAAATAAAGCCCTCTAAAACTGTCTGGTCTTAGGTTGTTCTCACAGCCTACTTCCCTAGTTGGGGTAGGTAAAAGCACCTTCTGGGCCAGGTTTCCAACCTGGCTGTAAGTATCACAAGGATGAACGTGTGAGCTTTGCGTTTTCAGAGAGGCACACAGGTTGGAAAGCTTAAGCCCTTTAGCAAGACTTTTCTCTCTTAGTCCTTAACCCAGACTATGTAAAGGTCTATTTTGGGCTTTTTGGTGGTTTTTCTTCTTCACCTTGCTCATCACTACAAATCCTTACAAAGTGTATTTTTAACCTATTTATGTCATGATAGGCGGCACACATTGAATGATTGCCTTTGAAAACAGGAGAGATGCTCTTTCCTGTAAACATTTTAAAGTCTTTTTTAACATGTAAATTTATTTACTTAGTAAATAGTAATGACTCCCAGCTGCTTCGATCTATTGCAGAAATCCATATTTAACTGCTAGGAAGCTGTTCTGGGGTCTCGTGCCACTGAACAGCAGGGTATGTTATTGCAGAGCACGTTGACACAACCTCTTCTAAAGGCCTGGTATTGTGTCATCGTAGGGGATAGTTATAGTACAGGAATGCAGAATAATATTATGAAAAAGTTTTCCCATTGCTCTGAACTTAACAGGAAGGGCCTTTGAAGGTCTGCCTCCAAATGGTGCAAAGAGATCTGAATTTATGCAGTGGAGAAATAACTTGTTAAATCCTATTTAAAAGAAGAGAAGCAAATTCTTATGTACAGGCAGGTGAAGCTGTGTTCATGGCAGTACTATTTTATCCTATTGCATCTTCTAATTTGAAAAGATTCCTGTTTGGTGTATTGAGAAATCTATTTTGTCTGTTTTTCAAACAGTGAGGCCAGGAAAATGCTGAACAAAGCCCTGGTACAGTCACTTTTAATCCAGAGTGTAGCTCTTTATTTCCCATGTTTAGCTCTCCTATATGGCTTAAAAGGAAAAGCAAAATAATCCATCAGTGTCACCTATTTGTGCGTATTGTTTCCTTCCCATTTTGTTTTTTTTGTCCAGGCCTCAGCCTGGGTTCAAAACATTTTTTTAACCTCCAAATAATTGTTGCTCCTTCAAGTCAGGAGTAGAAAGCAGCGATATTTCTTTATAAAAATGTATCAATGGCTGCAATGTTGGTGGTTTTTTTGTTTGTTTGTTTGGGTTTTTTTGTTGTTTTTTTTTTTTTGCAGGCTTTTGTAGGAGTTCAAGCAACCTATAGGCAAAAAGGCAATCGGGTTTATTATTGCCGGGAATCTCCAGGCGGTTGTTTGGAGGCTGCAAAGGCAGGCGGCAGAGCTGGGAAGAGGGGGAGAGAAGGGCCACATTATGTTCCAGATGACTGAGCAAGGATTTATATACCAGCTCTCCTTTTTTTTTTTTTTTTTTTTTTTTCCCTTTTTTTTTTTTTTTTTTTTTTTAGCATGGGAGAAGAAAAGTAATAAGAGCGGGGAGGCATTTGAGGCGGTCAGATGGCCGATGACTAATGGGATAGGTGGGCAGGAGCCCGCGGATTGGGTGTCTTAATGAGCACATTTCGCACCGAGTTTGGGCTGCAGTTCCCCTTCACCTTTGGCCTTTATTGACCAAACTGACACTTCATTTTTCACATACTTCCAATTATGGCTGAGCTTAAGTGTTGCCCTGCCTCCTTTCTTTCTTGCCTATGGACGGCTTGAGAGTGGCTGAGGCCACAGAAGATATTTTAATTTGAAAAACTACCATAGCAAGGCAGGTTTAGGGTGTAACCTGAAACTGCTGTCACTTGGCAGTTTCTCCGATGAAAACAAAAGTTTTAATGTTTCTTGTTTAGCGCTTCCCGCCCCCCCGCCCGCCCCCCACTCCTTCTCCGTGGTGAGGTGGGCAATTGCTTTGGGAGCCAGTGGGTTGGTGACGGGTGTTTTCCTCGGGATAAATCCTTTCTGGCAGTACAGGTGTCATGGGTGGGAGTCACCCAAATAAAGAAGCAATCCCAAGTAAAAAGGGGTGCTCTGCTTGAATGATGGCTCCTTGCTCCCTCCCGGCGTGGCATCTTCTCAAATGGCTTCATGTGGTGTGATGCCCTGTAATGTCCTTTGCTGGATGCTCTCCGTAAGGAAAAGCAAAACATCGTTGTGCTTGCACTTCTCAAGCCTTAGACCAGTGTGGGTTTGTTGTTTTGGTAATATTTAATGCATGAATGCAGAGTTGAGCGTGACCTGGCTGCGAAGCTTTGAGAGGTGGCTGAAAATGATGCTGGGAGAGGCAGGTGGGATGAGGAGTTGGGTGAATCTGCAGTCACCCCTTCTCTGTACAGGGAGAACCATGATATATCTCCCACTGCTCCAGCCTGTG